GTTTCTTTCTTTTCCTTCGTGTGTACGAACGTTAATATTAACGTTCGTACACACGAAGGAAAAGAAAGAAACGTGACATCACTCTACACAGACAACAGTCTTAATGTATGTTATATATGTGTACCGTACATTGCAACGTGAGCACACACTATATATAACGTGAATAAGAAAAGAAAATAGAAAAGAAAAAAAGAAAAGAAAAGAAAACGCTATTTTTCGCAGCTCTATTATAACATAAGCACCTTTGAATAGACGTTATGCTTTTTCAAAATTTCTTTTAACTAAAGAACAAAAAAAACAATAGTTTGTAAACTTGTTGTTTCTCTTTTGATGTTATTTCATTATTTATCTGACAGAGTACTTCAGATCTCTTCTGCTTCTTTATAGCTGTAAAAGATATACCAATATTCGAGAAAAGGGTTTGAAAATTTTTTGAAAAAAATTAAATCTACAATAACTAAGTTATCCAACTTTGTTTCAAGGCCGAACTTGCATAAGAAAGTGAAATCAATACAAAAAAGTCTGTTGCCCAGAAGAGAAGAAAAATATGAGGGATTGTAAGCCGGGGAAAATGAAGGATTGTAGAGAAGAAAAAGACGAAGAATTTTTCTCAATGGTGTTGTTATATTAGTCCTCTAGGATTCTAAAGAAGAAGAAGAAGAAGCTGTGTTTCTGTAAGCACTGGTCGACGTTCTTGTGGGTATTCTTGCCAGATTCTTGTTTCTTGGCATTTCAGACAAATATGTTGTAAAATATTTTACATGTATTTTTATCACAAGAACGCGATTTCCTGCAAGTTTCTTGTTTCAATTTTTTCTACAAGAATCTTATCTTGTAATTCTTTAAAAAATCTTGCAAACAAATAGAATGCATATATAGTCCATTTTTCGCCTTCTTTTCTTTTCATATATATAGGAACTGGACGCTCTGATGCCAATACGGTATGTATGTATGTATTAGACCCATTACGTTGCAGTGTAGAGTGAGAATCAATAAAAGTAACAATTAACACCAAAAAACACAAAAAGTTAAGGTGTCTATTTCGGTTTCCGGCCAGTTCGTTCACATTGAGACGTTGCTTCAAGGTATATCATCAGCACACTACCGTCCAGATAACTAGTTTAAATAGTGCCCATCATCTCACCAAGGAGAAACAGTCTCAATTTGTTCTCACATTACTTTTTCGGTAGTTTGATCTTATTCTTTCTGCACCGGTCTTTGGCACATGCCTTCACATGTCCCGTTATTCCTTGCAGTTTAAATTGTTTTCCGCATTGTGGACATACGTAATGATTGCTAGATTTCGCCAGCATCTCCGTCACTTTGCGTACAATATCTCCACGAACTGCAGTCGCCTCGTCCGATCTTCTTCTGTCTGCGCGTATCTTGTACTCCTGCACTATGCTGTTATGTTCGGATGCACAGGTTTAACTTGTACGGTCTTGTTAATCAATACTCGCCGTTTATCTCTGCTTTGGAATCTCTTCTCCAATTTTTGATCCCGAATTCTTTAATATCCTCCATTATTTTAGTCTCCCATCGTTTTCTGATGCCTACGTTTCCACGACGAGTGTTATCTGGCAGATAGGGGATGCCAATACAGGCACACGTAAAGACTCGATTGTCTCTCGACAAAAATCTTATGAGATTTGAAAGACTTTTTAAAGACATCTATGTATAGTATTGAGCTATATTATGCAACTTATATATAGCACGGGAATCGACAAAACAACTTGGTGATTTTGTCGTCAACGAATCTTGCCACTTCAGACAAGAATCTTTAACGAAAAAAGATGAAAAATCAATAAAAATTAAACGAAGAATCTTGCCTGATCTATCAAGAAAAAATTGAGGGTTCTTGTCTGAAATGACAAGAGACAAGAATCTTGCAAGAGTATCCACAAGAACGTCGACCTGCGAGGAATAGAATAACAGAAATACTTTCATAGACAAAAAAAGTATTTTATGGAAATTCCCCATCATTATTATTTTTTCTATAAAATAATTTTTGATTTGCTGCGATGCAAAATTTGAACGATAGAGAAAAACTACATTTTCTTGTCACTCTGCAGGAAAGACAAATCAGTCAGAGTGTAAGTATTCTAAAATCAGTCGCGACAGGATTGATTAAACCATTGCCAAACAGCGATGCATTGCTCAGGAATGGTTTAGAAAAGAACCTTGTTTTCCTTAAAAATGAGATTTCCTTTTGAACAATCATTACCAAGCAATGATTCATTGCTTAGCAATGGTTTTCATAAACGACATTTCACAGAAGAATGGATTCGTAAATGGAAACTTGGGCGGGTATGTTGGAACAGCTGAACATTGTACGAACAACTTGTGTGAAGGTGAGTTAGAGTAAGGTTGATATTCTCTTTTAAGAAAATAAAGTTCTTTTTTAAACTACTGCTTGACAATGGATCTAGATGATGCTCATATCTCTTTGGTTCTTTTCATTGTTCCTTTTATTATTATTATAATTTATTCTTTTGCTGTGATAAATACTCCACTAAAAATAGTAGCTGGTCTCTCTCTTTTCTGCTGCTTATGCCATTTCGTCTGTTATGTATGAAAACTTTTCTTTTTTGTTACTACTTGCTTGTGTTGGCCAAGGGTGAAAGAAAACGTTTTTTTTAAAAGAATAAACAGGAGTATGAGAAATGAACATTTCATTTAACAGTTTGTTTTCAAGACAAGATCAACAAAGTACAAGATTAGCCTCAGTAAAGCACTTTTCAGGACTTTGATTTGGATCGAAACATAAAAGAAAATTTTTTAATCTCTGGCTTCTAATATCAGCTACACCTCATTTGAAAACTCTCAGTTACTCTCTAGCAGTCTTTGATGTAAAGAAAAACTTTCATTTGAAGAACACAGCCTTTTCTTAGTTTTGAGAACATGGATAACACTTTTGGCGATGCATTGCTTAGAAATGGTTCATTGCTGAGCAATGGCTAGTGAATGACAACATTATATTGGAATAGCTCACTAATAAATACCTTTATTAATAAAAAAGGTTTTTTTTCTATCGAACTATATTTTTTCTATAAAATTATTTGGATGGTTAAAACGGGTTTTATTATTTTTTGAATCAAACCAGAGCTGGGCAACTCCGGCTAGGTACAACTCCAACTCCAACTACGCTTCAACTCCGAGTTGAAATCTATTTGTTCTTTTTCCTTCCCGTTTTTTTAATTTGCCCGTATAACGGCCATGTTTTCATTTATAATAGTATGCACAAAAAAAATCATTATAATAAATCAAAATTAGATTTCAATAATGTTAATTTTGAAAGCATATTCTTTGGCATACTACTATGATGTGATCGAAACAGTTGGAATTGGAGTTGACAAAATTTGTCACCAACTCAACTCCAACTCCGCAAAAAAAACGCTCAACTCCAGCGTTGAGTTGCCCAGCTCTGAATCAAACAAATCAATCGGAGCATTCGAAGCAAACGAATCAATGTTGAAAAGTGCTTCTCGGTTTCGTGCTTTCTCCATTTTATTCTTTGTCTTACAATTTACTTTTTTACTACTTACTTTAGTTTATTATTGTTTTCTTGTCGTTTCTTTTCCTGTATTTCTTTTTTCTAGTGAGAGGTATAATGTGTTTCTATACGGTTGAACTCACTTAAATAAACAAAGCATAAATTAACTTTTCTTGCGATAAAGCACAGAAATGTGAACATCAAGTAACTTTAATGTAAGACGGAGTGAGTAGAGATAGATACGAGGATGCAGAGACAAATCAATTTTGGGAAAAATTTGATTTATTTTATGGCAGAAAACATGATCTACTTATATGTCTGACTAGCTCATTTTCTTCTATTTCCTGAATATCTTTGTTGTCCTCCTTTGTTGCAATTGGTCGTTTCTTATATTTTGTAGAAGAAAATGAGCTAATGCGACAAATGTAATTAGATCATGTTTTCTGCTTCGAATGCTCCGACGGATCTGTCTGATTCATTTGCTCCGATCGTAATTTTGACAGCTTCCCTAATGACTCACTAAATGTAAATATGTTGATAACTCATTCAATATGCTCCATGTATATGCTAATATGTTTTTCATGCTAGACATTCCTGTGCTTAACTTTTCCGTGCTGAACATTACTCATCCTCAACGTTCACCAACCCTTTCTTAATGTAGATAACTGTTTGCAGCTATCAGAATAGACAAAACAATGGAAATGACAGCCGAATCAAAAGCAGATGCCAACGTTGGCTCATGCCCAACTTACGCAGGACTCGCCAGTCAACATTTACTTTTTGCCGAGCTGGTTAGCAACAGAGGTGGTTTTATTTCGCATCGTGAAGAAACAATTTCGAAGTCTGAATGCGCTCGCTATGCAGCGCACAAAAGAAGGTCAGTGACAGATCTCCGAACTTTATCGACCGGTTTCGCTTTGCCTCGTCACCGCGGCGATAATTATAATCATCATCCATTTTGTCCTAGTTTTTGTGGCCAAAGATCTCCAAGATCAGCAATAAGCAAGCAATATGCCGTCAATCAGGCAAAACGTGGTGTTCCGCCAAGTGGTGCCCTCAAAGAAGAAAAATTGGAAGCATCATTTCCTTCATCTATAATCATAAAAGAAGAGAAAACAAAATCTAGAATTCCAGTGAGAACATTTGAAGCTACCTCTCCATCATGCACAATAACGACAGCGACAAGTAGCAATTCATCATCACCCTCTGTCATCAATGAACGAGTTTCATCAAGTAACAAAAAGACTATGATCCCTCGACTGATTCCGACTCGTTTCTTACCATCGACGAATCATACTGCGGCCGTCGTCGATCTATCGAAGATCAAAAATAAGGCAATGACGAGTTTCTTAAACGTGGGTAAGTCTAAACTTGAGTGGCACTCAAACGAGGATGCTAAGTTAGTATTGGCTCTACAGTATATTGGGGAGATAAGGACATATGAATACTGTTTTTGATATTAACCACGATCCTGATATAGCTGTTGGCCTAAATTGACAAACAACTAGATTTTACGCCCGTGCCTATTACGAAGACTTTTAGGCAATATTGTATAATAATTCGTTTTGACATTTTTCTTACTTTAAAAACAGCTTCTTGAAAGTTCAAAAGTACTTTTACTTTTTGCTGCTCATAAAACTGTTCGTTTTTAAAGGACAATGATAAAATCCGTTATAAACGTAATACTCATTTAGCGAAACTTTTTGATGATTTATATAGTCTATTATCACCTGTGTTCCACATATAGCATCATGATTCTGATATTTTGGTAAGCCAAGCGAGACCGCGTTGGATTCCCACCGTATTGAGAATGCTGATTGTTTCCGCTTCCGAGTCTCGACGGACCCGACAAGGATCCTATCAGGAATCGCTCTTTTTCCTGAGCAAACGATTGTATCCTAACAGAAACGTGTAGCCGAGAAGTGTCCAAGATCTTGACCATATTTGAAACAGGATTTCATCATGATCCTGAGCGGTTGCCAGCTGCATTTGGGAATTGATTCAGGAAGCCAACAAAACTCGATCCAAGCAACATCTCGAAACTCCACGGTTCGGGAGCAATGGACGTTTTTCCAGAAGCCTTGGGATTCCTCTGCGGTTAGGCTCGGGACTGTCAGAAATGAATGTAAACATAGGTTATCGACTGTGCTGAATCTCGTGGCAATGTTAGTTTTCAGAACAAACTGTAAAGGCCGAGTGAAAACCTTTACTAAGTGGAATAACCCATTTTTGGCTTTTTTGAACAAAAATTACAAAAATTCATAACTCAGTCACGATTCATCGAATCTACTTCAGATTTTCAGGAAATACTTTATTTTATCCGCTCATTCTGATTCTGTACTTAAAATCAATTAATGACTCTTCCCAAATTTACCTCAGTGAAAAGTTGCATGAAATTCGATTGTTTAAAAAAAGTTTCAACTTTTTTCTGAGATTAAGCTCGGCAAAGTTTCTCAATCGATCAGCTAATTTCACAAAACTTAGGGGGTTAAATCGAGGTTTCTACTTCCAGTTGTGCGATTGAAGGTAGACTCAGTCTAATATTTGTCACAGCTAAAAATTATGCGTTTGCGTACCATTTCGCTTCAAAACGGAAGATGTGACTACTAAGCGTCTTTCTGGTTCACATGTCTTCTATGCGACTTCTATATGTCTACCAGTAGACACATTAAAAACATATAGAAGACGTCTATTATTTTGAAGACGCAATGTAGTCATACAAAAGACACTTTTTCTCGGTAGACACAACGCTGAAGTCGCATTTTTTTTTAGATTGTAGTTGCCAATTTCTTCCAGTATAGAAATTCAAATTCCATCTCCGTTCGAGAACAAATCTTTTCAATTGGATTTCATTTCGACAGAGACCCAAAGTAAAAGCCGCCCCCCTCAGGAATTCGATGTTTTCTTCGAAACCCTCGAAACTGATGTAACCATACAGTTCAGTATCCCAAAGTGTCATCTTTCAGAATCCATCTCAGTTTGCCAAAAATTCAATGCTTTTGGAGGATTTTGAAAGAGATTTCTGAAAGCCCTCAAAATCACCTTTTTCTAAATTTTACGTTTTAATTAAAACTTTTAAGGTTATCCGTTTTAACAGACATGGAACTATGTTGAGCAGAGTGGTCTGATCAGAATGAGATATCCAGCAGGTTTGTACGACTTTGTCTAGTAGTTAGACTTTGTAGTTATACTAGTTTTGCTAAAGACGTTGAACTATAATTAATGAAGTGATGACATCATTGCTTAGGATACGGTTTTGGCACAGTAAAGTTGTAATAACTCCTAGACGATTCATCGTAAAACCTTCATTGTTTTTTTATTTTGAAGCTAAGACATTTATCTAAACTTTGATCCGCGGCGATTTTTGATTTTTGTTTTCTGTGCAGAGATAAGTGGCAAATACTCCGTCGAATTAGGGTAATTTTCAGAGGTCTGACTTAAAATACGTGTAGAGAATGGACAGAAGCGAAATTCAAAAATCGCCGCGGATCAAATTTTAGATTTAGATGTCTACTTTCATCTGAGGCCTCTTGCAATTTTCTGCACCTTCCAACAAAAAAGTCATAACGCTTTTGCTAAGAGCCCCATTTTACCTCTTGTCACGCAATAACTCGGCAGCGCTTCAGCGTTTTGATTTCAAATTCTTAGCATAAGCTCGTAGGACAGTAAGCATTAGTCACTGAAGCACCATCGAAATCGGATGTAAGATAAAAACGTTTTTTGCTGAGGGGGAGCCCCTTAAGAGCCTTTCTCATACTGTCATGCAGGTGCGACGTAAGATAAGATAGATTTCTTTTATTCCTCCATATATCAGAGAGCATAAGGCCTTTGGAAAGAAAATATATCGTCATGGAAGGAAAAAATGTCATCATTTTACAGAACTGTAGCATAATTATCCTTTTTTATATGTAAACTGGGAGAAACGTCCGAAATACTAATATTTAAATCTGGTGACTGTCACAGTCCAAGTAATTACAGACCACTTACTTTACTTCCGATTTTATCAAAAATTTTAGAACGCATTGTATATCGAAAAGTGCATGGGTATCTCGTGAATTACGGACTTCTGAATAAAAACCAGTCTGGGTTCCAGAAGAATGATTCTACCATTAATCAATTAGTATCCATAACACATGAGATGCTGATAGCTTTCGACCAAAACGAGCCTGTGTTGACTGCGTTCCTTGATTTCAGCAAGGCTTCTGATAGTGTATGGCACAAGGGCTTGCTATTAAAACTGAAGGCTAAGGGAATTCCTCAATCGCTCATTAACTGGTTTGCCAGTTACCTGGCTAAGCGGGAGATTGTAACTACAGTGCAGGGTGTTACATCATCGGCGAGGAGAATTAATCGAGGTGTGGCTCAGGGCTCGGTCCTAGGGCCGGTGTTGTTTTTAATATTTATTGATGATATCGCGATAACATCAACTCCACAATGAAATTCTTTGCTGATGATGTATCTCTGTATTGCATTACAAAAAGGAATGATTTATCCAAGGCTGTGGATCAAATAAATAAGGACTTAGTCATCATCTATAATTAATTGGTCAGTGACTTTTTTATTTGAATATAGATAAATGTATAGCTATGCTTTTCTCTAGTCATAAAGGACTTCAGACTGCTATAATACCTGTTATCAGCATCAGTAACACTCCCATACCCTACGTTACTAAACATAAACAGTTTGGCTTAGTATTGAAGAATAACCTTGATTGGACAGCGCATGTAGATTATATCCTACATAAAATCGACCGTCTGACTGGCTTATTGAAACTTTTTTCACATGTGCTGGCCCGTCAAGCCCTAGATATAATCTACAAGGCTTACGAGTTGAATCAGCTTAACTATGGTTCTGTTATCTACGGTAATACAATAGCGAGGAATATGGATCGCTTAGAGTCTGCTCAGTACAAGGCAGCTCGCGCTGTTTCTGGCGCAATGATGTTTAGTTCTGCTGAAAGGGTCTTGAAAGACTTAGGATGGGAGTCAATAAGAGAGATTTTCGAAAGATATCGATTAACCCTATTTCAGAAAATCATTACTGGGAAAACATCATCTGTTCTAAAGAGCTTGTTGCCTTCATCACCGCCTACATCTCTTACATACTCATTACGAAGTCGAGATAGACAGCTTGTTCCGGTTCAACGTTGCCGATTAAATATAGTTTATGATTCGTTAGTCGGTTGATACCACCAAAATCAAATTCAAAATTACCTTTAATCAGTCGAAGAGATATTGATATTCACTACTGTCGCCTTAGAGTCGGATTTTCTCAATTGAATAGTGACTTATTCGATAAAGGTCTCGTGCATGATCCATCTTGTGAATGTAATAGTCTAATAAATGAGACTGTTTACCATTTCTTTCTTGAGTGTTCCAATTACAACAAGGAGAGAGAAAACCTAATGACACAGCTCTCTAACAGAAGTCCAGATGTTAAACCGGATTTTGAATCACTTCTATTACGAGTACTGTTTGACAAAGTAACAGTTGGAGTTATTGTCGAGTTAGTCGTAAACTATATTGTTGATACAGAAAGGTTCTCTACTTCTGTCTGATTCACTCGACCTACACATCTGCAGTACCAACACACAACACAACTCACCTTTCATGCTTACTTGTATACTTATTTATTTATAATATTTCTTTTCTTTTTCTCGCTTTTTCTCTCATTTTTTCCTCTTGTACTATTTAGTATGGCTTAGCGAATCTATAACAGTTAAGGGTTTGTTCCTTTTTTTTTACGGTGACCACATGTATATGGATCTTCGATCCGCTTTTGTGGCTTGTATCTTTTGGATTTTTCTACTTTTACATCAATAAACGAGATTAAATCAAATACTAATAGCAGAAAGAGGTAGCGTTCTGCAGTTATTACTATTTGAAAGAGGCGGCGAACCTGCATTGTTACGTCTAGTGAAAAAATCGTCACTTTCTTCTAACATTTCCTGTCGCTTTCGCTCAGATCGAAATTGGACAGATTTCTAAGCTGAGAAGGTAGCTCGATTGAGCATAAACTTTCAAAATCTTTTCTGAATGTTTATTATCGTTTTTAGCTCAGACAAATAATGACGCGAACCCATTACAAGATATAATGGAACAACAAGCCGAATTAAAAGCCTACTATGACAGTTTTCCAAATATTGATGATGCTACAAATCAAACAGACTTAGACATTAAAAAAGCTGAAGAATTCACGGACTCAATATTACATCATTTACCATCGGGCGATGTGAATGATAGAGAAACTCTATTGCATGTTCTAAACAACTTGCTTACAAATAAAAATCAACAATGCTTATTTTATGATTCTGCAAAAGGTATAAATCTTCATGATGCATCTGGAAATTTAGCTGATATTAATTTCCACGACAGACCATTCGTATTGAAATTAAAAAGTAGTAAAGGATTAGGAAAGGATAAAATTGAAAAAGATGAATACGATGACTTGAAACTTATTCAAACATTAAATAATGTAATTGAACAAAAGAAATTTCATCCAATTATTGAAGATATACTTGAACGTTTATCAAAAGCACATGATATTGAGAAAAAATATATTGCTATAAAACGTGTGTATATTGGAACATTTAACGTAGTTTATACTGTAATGGATTTGGTGCGTCATGTACTGGAATCGATTCAAGACGCTTCACTAAAATTACGGATACAATTTGAAGAATTTGTAAGTGCAAGAATTCATCCATTACTATACCGTCCATCATTTGATATATCGTATTTTGATGACCGTGGTAATAAAACTTTTTCTAACGAATCGGAGATTCATGAAGTTGGTCCACCTGGACATACTAAATTGTATACCTCACCTACTGAATGGACTAGATATGGGTTAAAAGTCTTGAGCAAATATCCAACTGATGATTGGTTGCATCCATTTCAAGGTCCTGGAAATTGGTACAGAGCTTTTCATGGAACAGGGCGTGCAGATGCTAAAGATTTTGGTAATTATAATCAACCATTGGACAAACAGTATGCATGTGTTGATGCTCTTTCAAGTATTTTTGTTAATGACTTTTGCAAAGCAAGAGTCCATGCATTCGGAGAAGGTGTTTACTGTTCTCCAAATCCTAAGTTTCTTGAGAATAGATATGTTGGCACTGTTCCATTGGATACTCGACAAGGAAAGAAAAATTTCAAATGTATGTTGCAGGTAGCCGTAAATCCTGATGGTGTTAACTGTGTCAAAGATGATACATGGGTCGTAGCTAATCCTAAGGATATTCGACCTTACGGTATACTTATTAAAGAAGTTTAACTCAATATTTTTATATTTTGATTGTTTTATTGTTCTAAAATTCTTCTACACATTTACGATGATCTGTACAAAAGCTTTCTAAGATTATGCACCATTTTGTTGTTTTAGTATTTTTTTTCCTGTTTGCCACTGCCAACATAGGGGCAAACTAAATTGAGTTTTTAAATTTATTTGTAAAAATACAACCACTTTGAGAACAAAAAAATGTAATCAAAGTTAAATGGACTCTGCCGCGGTCATTATAAAGATTATTACATAATGTCTGATTTTATTAAAGGCTTCATGTCGACCCGCAAAACTTACAATAGACTGAAGGATTTTGAATGTTTTAAAACTCAAGGATGAAATAGAAAAAACTTAAACTTAAACTATAAGTATCTACTTTAAATCTTAAATTTGAAGAATCGTCTGCAGTAGAATTAGTTTTTATTTCAGCACATATGAGATGGAAACATGGAAGTCGCAAGCATGTGTTCTGCATCAGATTGAACGGTTGCTAATCACGATGTTTCTCTGGTTCTTCCAATATGGTGTACATCAGCATTTATAGCTGAATGATACACTATATGTTAATGGAGTCTATTATTGATGGTAGTTCAAACTGTGACGAGAATTATAATTGCATTTATAAATTATCCATGTAGCTGAAGAAACCTCGACGTGTTAGTAACTTTTCTCCCATTCTTGGCTTCTTTCTTACAAGAATATAGTTTAAGTGAGTCTTGGCTAGATATAGGACTTCTTAGACTTATACCTTTTAGAACATCACATTTATCAAACTTACAGCGACGACTATCTTGGACCTTTAACCTTTAAGTGTAAGAAATCTAAAAGTCTAAGAAGTCTAAAAGTCAAAGTTGTCCAAGGAGTCTAAGAGGCTAACATAAGCTATGAAATTAAAAATACTTTTAGACTTTTGACTTCTACATGTATGCCAAAACAATTCTAGAGGTATGTTTGGGGTAGGACAAGGGTTAGGGTGGGATGTTATGATATATTTTTCAAATTTCTTCGTTTAGAAATATGCTGAAGCCTTGCTATTTACAGCATAACTTGTGCTACCCATTTGACATACATGGTAAAAAAGCGAGTTCTTAATTTCATGTAGTTCGGCCAGGGGAGAGTCAGAAGGGGGTGGAACAAATTGTATGTCACAAGCCACTGGACGTCAGTAAAATATCAATTACTCAAAAACGAAATAAACTAACAATTTGCGGTTTTCAACAATGTATAATGCCTACTTTTGTAAATCTTTTTATGGAAAAATATTTGACTTAAAGTGCTTATTGGCTGCGCTGTAGACTCGAAAGTGGATGGGACACGATTTTTGAACTTTTCGAGGACCAGAAATTCCATCGAAGTTTTCACAGAAACTAAAAGAGATTAGGCAAAACTAAGACTGCAGATTGATAGAGCAGATAAAATACTGCACAAAAAGGAAAAAAGATTTTGTTCCGCTGCCCCTTAAGAGAAGAAAAATGTTAATTAAGAAAAAAGAACGTGCAGAAACCACTAAGAAAAGAAGAGAAAAAGAATCCAAAAACAAAGTGTTTTGCTTACTGTACACTAAGGAAATGAGACAGAAAAGAGATCTTAACAGTATATATAGAGTAAAGTGTCCGGAATAAAATGGCATAAGCTTCTAAAAGCTCGATTTAGTATTAACGGAGAATCATGCATTTCCATTAGCTTAAGTCGAACGGTACAAAAATCACCAGAATCATTCATATGCTTATATTAAAGAGACCAGATAACTATATAAGAACATGTATCTCCTTTCTATTCAGTTAGTACAGAAGTGTCGTATAGTTAACATCAATTTATGTTGTGCTAGTCTGTGTTTGTAATCTTCTCCTTCTTCACTCCATTTTAATAAAATACCAAAACATAATCTTTCACAATCAGCACACATCAGAGGTAAGTCATTCAAGTTACTCTAAATATCCTCATTTTCCATCTCCATACCAGAAATTCAGAGGTAAGATCAGGAGAAACGAATTCGGGACAGCTCTAATCTCCTGTGAGAGGAGTTTAGTACTAACACACGGTAACACACTCGATTTTGTATTGATAATACACAGTTAATGGAAAAACCAGTTAGTTTAAGCTATTTTATTTCAAATTAGTTACAGAACTCTAACACTAACAACTCGACAAGTCATTATATGTTAGTATTGGCTCTGATCTATAATCATTATGCTACATAAACACACAAAAAAATATGTAGAACGAATAACAAATAAGAAAGACACAAAATAGTGGAACAAATAAATAGATGAATAAATAATATGATAATAATACGTAGGTGGAAAAAGAGAAGGTAAGTTTTTGAAATACAGTAAAAAATTACATTTTAAAAAACGAGAAATGAAAAGTTAAATAATAGAGAGATAGTACATACATTTATATATTTAAAATTTGTTTTGATATAAAACGTTCAGTTTCATTGATGTAAGTGATAACAGATTTGTATATTTTATTATAGTGATCGAAAGAGCGAGAAGTAGCCTTTAAAAGAAGAAGATTCACATCAATACGCAGGTCAGAATCACATTCATATATTTTATCAAAAAGTTTTTTTCGAGCAATAGTGTAGTTCTTGCAGTGCAAAAAGAAGTGTTCCACCATTTCAATTTGAGAGCATAGACAAAATTGCGAGTTTGGTCTCTGTACAATATTTCTGCGCCATAGATCATATCCGAGGGTAGAAAATTCTGCACGCATTTGATGGTACACAATGTCATCGCTTCTATTTACGTTTTTTATAATTGGTCTTTTCTGTGGTATTATTGTTGAACGATACCGTTCTTTCTTAAATTTTTTGACTAATAACAAAACTCTTAATCTTAATTCTAACTGATTCGATTTTTTAATAGTAGATGGAAAAAAAGAGACATCATAAGATTTTGTTTGGTTAGCTGATATTCGTCTGACAGAAACATTTTCTTTGATTAACTGTTCTCTATGTGACCTTAAACCACGCTTCGAATTTTGTACAAATGTAATGCAATTTTGAAGGAACAATGGAGCCTGTCCAACTACAATTTTCTGAATTAATTGAATTCTACGACTGTTTGCTATTTCTACATATGATTGCCATCCTAATACTTTAATTAATTTATCTTTACTAATAAACTGTAATGCTTCACTTACAATCTTTGTTGCCTCATACTGCATACGTTCTAATTTAGCTAAATTTTCTTTTATCGTTCCGAAATACACTTCACATCCGTATAAAATGACTGATGAAAGAAGAGACTGATATGTTTGATAGAGTGTTGATGTACTAAATATGCTTTTAAATTTCTTCATCAAAAATAGTATTTTATTGCATTTCTTAATCACGTATTCGCAATGTGCACTCCAATCCAAAGTAGATGTTAGAATAATCCCTAAAAGTTTATGTTCGTTTACTTCATTTAAAATAACACTATTTAGTTTTATATCTGGCAGAACATGTTTTGGTTTTTTTTGTGAATATCATTGTTTTACATTTCTTTTCATTTAAAGGCAGCTGCCAATTCTGAGACCACTTACTAATTGTTTTTTAAATCATCATTTAACACTTTAGTGGTAGTATAAAGATCTTTTGATGAATAGTGTAAAAGAGTGTCATCTGCAAACAGTCTTACTGTAGATACAATATCCTTATTTATATCATCTATGAAGATCAAATACAGTAACGGTCCGAGTACACTACCCTGCAGTACGCCTCGATTTATACTTCTTGCCTTCGGTATCTTTCCGTTTACCACTGTAATAATTTTTCTGTCACTCAGATAACTTTTGAGCCATTTTAACATAGTGCCTGAGACTCCTTTACCTTCTAATTTCTTTAGCAAATCTTTTATCCATACTCGATCAAAAGCCTTAGAAAAATATGAGAACACAGCTCTTGTTATCTTTGATTGTTCAGTCTCTAGATGAATTGATTGAACTAGATCAACTAACTGATTGACCGTAGAATCATGACGAATAAAATCGGATTGTAAAGGTGACAGAAGATTATTTTTCTTCAAGTGACTGTATAAATGGAAATGCATGATTCGTTCAAAAATTTTACTTAACGCTGGAAGTAGAGTAATAGGACAATAGTTCGAAGGAGAAGTTAATTCACCATCTTTAAATAACGCATTTACATATCCTGTTTTAAAAATACTTGGAAAAATACCGGTACCGATTGATTATTGTACTATCTTCATAATATAAGGTGATATTATAATTGCAGATTTCCTCAATAGACGTGATGTTACACCAGGGGAGCAAGCTTTGTTTATATCTGTTTTTAACAATATTTTTTTCATTCCATTTAGTGTAACTTTTAAATCGGATAGCTGAGGGACATTTGACGATATAGTGATTGATGGAGTTGGGTTAGCATCGTCAGTGGAAGATATGTGATTGATAGATGCAAAATGTTCGTTCAATAATTCAGCCTTATCGCAATCCTCTTCTATTAATCTACCTAGATTATCTTTTAAAGATGAAATAACAGAACGCTTTTTTCTACCTAACGAAAAATTCAACGTTTGCCGCCAATCTTTTTTATTCGCTTTTGTTTTGTTTATTTTCTCTAAATATTCTTCTGTTGCCTTTTTTGCAGAGAGCTGAAACTCTTCTGCTGCTGATAGATACATATCATAAGAAAAATCGTTTTTGTTTTTGTTGTATTTCGATACGCGCTGTTCTTCTTACGTAACAATTTTCTTAATCTGTCAGAGAACCAGGGCTGATCTCTATTTCTTCACATACCTGATCTTACAGATTATAGGAAAAGAATCGAAAAACTTTTTAACACAAAAACCGCAATAGACATTCCATAGGAACAATAAATAAGTGCTGGAAGTTTTTCTGTATTATTAACTTTGTAATAGTTTTTAACAATTTTGTTTTCAATTCTTGAAAACGAGTTCTTGTGAACTCGAAACGTCGAAAGAAAATAAATTTATTGACATCGCTGTAAAACAACTTCTACTAAGGTTCCCTTGTTAAAACCACTA